GGCGTGCTTTTCAACATCGCAGTACCGAGGTCCAATCACCAAATTCAAACGATATTAGTCGCAGTGCTCGTCCTCGTCCGGCTCACATTCACAGCACCAGCCACGAACGACGGCAAATTCAAAACGGACGCACAGCACGAGAACAGTCTAATCAGCATCATCATCATCATCATCATCGTCATCAACATCATCAGCCGGACGCACACCAGCAGCACAACCGTCAATCTCATGATGATTTTCAGAATCATCGAGTAGCCATTGCGGCCAGGGTTAGAAGGCAAGCGCATGTATCAACACCGGACCGGACAGCAAAGGATAAACCATGAAAGTCATATAAATGATCTATGACTCTATGATACTGCGTCCACCGTACAGTTTCCAAAGTTGCTGCTGTTATGGTTTCCCTGTGGCATATGTAACTGTGCAAGACAAGCATTCCGATGTATGCGATTTCTGGTGAGATTGTAAGAAGAACAGACGCACAAATGAACTCATGAAGCCGAGCGGCTGAGCCACAAAGAGCGTAATACTAAGAACCGCCCCATGGCCCATAAGACCTTTCAGCCCTAAACTCTTTCCAAACTGACACTTTAGCCTGAAGCCCTAGCCAATGCTATATCTTGACCTCATTAGTTACTCGGTGTCTGACCTGTTATATTCTAGCCTACATACCGCACCATACAGTCTCCCTACTAGGTCGGGGCAGGTAGCCATAAGCATATCTATGTAACCTTATACAAATTACCGCTTTATGTCCTCTTAATACCCGAAGTGACCTTATGGTAACCGTTGTGGTGCTATTTGGTCGAGGCAGGGGGCCATCAGCAGGACGATGGCCCAAGACAGGGCTCGGATTCCGGAAAGCAAGCCCATAGCCATGAGCTTCAGCTCCTTCAGGAGGCAAAGATGTTCGTTTAAGTGTTTATGTTACTTAAGGGTTCCAGAAAGCGTATAATCAAGCATGGCGCTCCTTTAGGAGGCAGAAGGGTTGCATCAAGGGTTCTCTATTGCATAAGGGTTCCTTTAAACCGTACATTCAAACATAGCCATGAGCTTCAGCTGCTGTAGGAAGCAGAAGAGCTCCTTTAAGGGTTCTAGGTGATGCAAGGGTTCCTGTAAAACGTATATTCAAGTAAAGCCATGTGCTTCAGCTCGTTTAGACCTTTAGAAGGCGGACGGGTTCCTTCGAAGCTCTATATGTCAACAGGGTGAATTGAAGAATTTCTTGAAAAAGATTACGTTAAGGGTTCTACTGTACAGATTTATGGACGTAATATAGGTGTTTTACTAATTAAAAATAATTAGAACAAGGTTGCGGAGTATATCTTCTAGTATAGCATTGAACAATTAGTATGAAATAGACCTCTAAGGGAAAGCATTATTCAGCATCATTCAGCCTTCCAGATGAAAAATATGGTGGAGTCGAGGCTCGATGAGGGTCTTTAACTGTTGAACCATAGTGCTTAACTAGATGAACAAAATGCACCACATGTGATAACCTTAACCATTTTCTTCAGTTTTTCCCAGTGGGACCCACCAGAACTAGCAGACCCCCCTGAACTCTAGAATCCCTAAACCCTACAGGGACCTTGAACATCTTGAAGCGCATGATTCGGACCAGGCGGAACAGTCTGGCCAGCCGAAGCACCTTCGGAGGCAAGGCCGTACGGTTCTCGGCTTGGGACTTTACCCAAAAAGTCCAAGTAATAGTATAGTATATACTTTTGGGGGCCCACATACCTAGTAAGTACCTGCTATGATGGTACTTAGACCCTTCGGGCTATAGGGTTTTATGTATGCCGCACAATGCAGTGCAATCAAATGCATCTATACCACTGTCTCTATGTATGTACGCGTCTGCGTATGTATGTCTGTATGTATGTGACAATGTATGTGTACGTATGTACTTATATGTACCTCCTATGTATACGTATGTATGCATGCGTGCATGTACTTATACATACATATATATATATATATATCTGTGTGTGTGGGGGCTAAAAACTGAATTATGTATGTTCTGTATGTATCCTATGCACTTCCATGAGTGTTTGCATGTAGCTATGTATGTAGGAGTGCTTCAATCGGCTTTAGCGTTGCCATCACAGATGTGAGTAGCCACTCGATCATTTCCTTGCTGCTAGCTGCCAGTGCTATTGGCTAAGAGCCCAACAAAAGCTCATGACTTGACCTCGAAGCGAAAACTGTGACACTGAATGCTTGGGATTTGGGCCAAGAGACATACAGCTAAGGCCTGAAACACAAAATCATCACATGGGCCTCCGTAATGACCTGGCGATGTGTACCAAACGTCGAAGCACTTGGCCATGCTTCCCATGGGTCGTCTGCATATTGCATAAGCATAGGTCGCAACCCTTACAATTGCAACTATCCGGTACAGCAGCACTTGAATAAAGCCGGCCAGGTCAAATCATGACCTCGCTCCAATGCTGTATGCCTACATTCTGAGACCCTAAACCCTGAAACCCAGAAGGGGCCTTTAGAAGGTTTACAGCACTCTGGCCGTCAAGGCCGAAAATGATCTTCACGGCCAGCTCCTCGGATTTTAAGGCGCGCGATTTGCCAAGGAATTTATCTGCCTTTGAAAACCGTTTGTTGGGTGGTGGAGTGCGCGAGCTTTAAAAAATATCTACAGGGTATGAAGTCATGGAGTTCTATTAATTAGGTCCGGAGTCTTCAAGTTCCGGGGTATCACGTGACAGGGTAACTTCAGGGTACTGATGTCAGTACTGTACTTGCAACATAAGCCAAGCCGAGCGAACCATCGAAACCCGCGGTTTTAGGGGCCCGCCTTCAGGGTATTCAACGAGGATCCTACCACGCATGGCCTACCCAAGCTCGTAAACACTCCCCTACACCCCACACAGCCACTCGATCCACTCCAGCACATGTCTGGTTTACAGCTTTATTTGCGGGTTCAGGCTTAAGGTTTAGGGTTGTGGCTCTTCGGTTATTAACTTCTGTTTGGCGTCACAAGTATCACTAGCTGGGATTCTGCCGAGAATCAGCTTGCACCTGCCAGCGCCTTCCTGCCCTAAGCCCTAAGCCCTAAGCCCTAAATCCTAAATAGCTAAAACCCTAAACCCCTAAACAGCTAATTAAACCCTAAAGGCTAAGCCCTAAGCCTCCGAGGAAGACCCTCCAAAGCCACCAAAAGTCGCCCCGAACATCCAGAGCCAAACACCAGAACAGAAGACCTTGATCCCTGAACCCTAGGACCGATAACCCTAAACCCTAAAACCCCTAAACCCCTTTTTGAGCACGGACTCGAGCCCCAAAACCCTAAACCCTAAACCTCCTAAACCCCCTAAACCCCCCTACACCCCTAAAACCCCCCGAAACCCTGAAGGCTCAATGCCTGAACCCAAAACTCCAATCCTAGCTCTCCCTTGTACCCAAACAAAGTCCAAGCGGCTGCTGCGGACACCAAAAGGCACCCGAAGTCGAATAAGTTCCATGACAAGTCAGGACCACCTCGAGGTTAGGGTTTAGGGTTTAGGGTTTAGGCTTTAGGTTTTGGCGCTTTTGTTCAGGGTTGTCAGTTCAGGGCTTCGACTCACACACTCGCTCAAAGCAGGCATGGCATACAGCGTCAGAGTTCAGGGCTTAGGGCTACAGGGTTAAGGTTTAGTGATTTGGCGCTCACACTCTCAGGTTCGCATCACCCAGGTGGCAACTGCAACGAAACAGTGTCGGGGATGCTTCGCCTAGGGTTCACAACTTGGGTTCTGAATACGAGTGTTGCAAACAGACGGCTGATCCCCGAAACCATCGAATGAAAGTATCTTCAGATCTCAAATTCAGCGCTGCTCTGCCGGCTTAAGGGCTCTTGGGGGTACAAGTCCCCTAAGTGGGGTTATCCTAGTTACAACCATACTTAATTAAACCTCAACCTCAACCCCGAATATGGGCGGGGGGGGGGGCCTTGAGAATTAGACTAAGGTTCCTTGAAGGGTCCTTTAAAGCCTCTTGCAAGGGTCCCAAAGGGGTTAGAGAATATAGAGGGCTTGATAGCTTGACAACGAGTTTGGTGATGGAACTGAAGTTATTGTATCTATCTTAGATGTTAAAAGATATAGATAGATATATATATATATATATGAATCGTAAGGGAGAGTATCTTCAACTGCTCAGAGCTTTACTGACCCTAAGCCTCCTGCAAGCCTAAGCCGTCGCTCAAGGTCTACGCTTGCAACCTCAACCCTAAACCCTGAACCCTAAACCCTGAAACCCAAGCCCTGAACCCTGAACCCTCAACCCTGAACCCTAAACCCTGAAGCCTGAACCCTGAACCCTAAACCCAAGAGGGTTTCTCAGGGTGTTTTGGCCGAAAAAAACCCTTGAGCGCAAGGCTCTTCTGGATCAGGTCGTCGGTTATCTTCAACCAGGAACCCCCCTACCCTTTATTACAAAGCCCAACTACGGACCGACGAAAACAATAAAAGCCGCGCCTTCTCTGCCACCCGAAACCCGCAGCCTTCAACCATCAGCCGAAAGGCCCGAACCAGCGAGCCGAAAACCCCAAATCCCTAAACCCTTTTGCAACGAAACCCTAAACCCGTAAACACTCTCGACCTTTTTATGTTTAAACGTTTTTGGGTTTCGCGGAATTTGGCAAAATCACGGTTTTTTCCATAATCACAGCAGGATTTTGCTACGTTCGTACAACGTGTGTTTTTTAGATTGGGCTGGTGGCCGATCTCGCAGCAAGATGTGGCCGCGGAAGTTTGGCAAAATCATGGTTTGTTGCCAAAAATCCGTACAGCATAAAAAAACAAAACGTGCTTTTTCGTGGTTCTGGCCGCAAACCAGTGTTTTTTCGCGGAATTTTGTCAAAATCACAGTTTGTTTGCCAAAATTCCGCACAGGGCTTGGGGTTCAGGGTTTAGGGTTTAGACGTTTATGAACCCTAAACCGCACTTTGTGTCCAGGCCGTGAGACCTCCCAGCCCTGAACTCCCCTCAGGGCAGCCGAGGGGCAGAAGTAAATCTTGATTCCCCACCAAAGGTTTTTCACGATACACTCCGCCAGGTAGATCAGGAAGAAAACCTGGGCTTCGTCGGACTAAAACCCACATACCCCAACACAAATGCAAGCCATGACCACCCTCAACTCCTCCTAAACTCTCGGGGATGAAGTTGATAAGGCAAAACTTCAAAGAGTCAACTACACCAAAGCGCCAACCCTATACATCCCTTAACAGCAAATTTCGAATGCCCTGAACCTATCATGTAGGGGCCTCAATAACTGCCTATACTAACCTTGGGTGGTAAGACAGAAAATCAGAGTATACTGGGCCCCAAGACCCTATTCTAATCGTTACGGCCCCTAGCTTAAACGCTAAACCCTAGACCCACAGTCTCTAAGATCAATGTAAGAAGCCGAAGAACGACTGCAAGAATGGTCAGTAAAGTCCAAACCCTAATCCCCGAATTTCAGAGCCTAAACCCTGAACGACTCTACACCCCCAGAAGTCTGAAGACTGCCCTAAACCCCTAATCTAGACCCTGCAGCCTTTTTGAACGAGGTCTTCTCTGTATGATTTCATCAGGCTCTCTAGCTTTTGAAGAGGGGTTCAACCCAAAACCCAAAACCAAAAATAACCCCTACACCCGAAGCCCTAAACCCTAAACCTAAACCCTAACCCCTAAACCTTAAACACTAAACCCTTAAACTGTAGCCAAGGGACAACCTCTAAGATCTCCCAGGTCATGATGTGCTGTGGATTGTCCGCTCCTGGTCTGCAGGAAGGATTAGGGATTAAAATACCGTCAACTACCCAAACCCTACCTTTTTGGTAGGGTTCTTATGGTAAACCCTAATATATGGGATTTAAATATACCTTAAACTGCCAAACCCTACTTTTTATTGTAGGGTTCTTCTGGTAAACCCTAATATATGGGATTTAAAGGGACCCTACAAAAAAGTAGGGTTTTGGGTAGGTCCAGGTATTATGATTTGGGAAAGTATCCCCCCCCCTCTAACAGTACTGAGGAGCCTATGGGGCTTTTCTCACTACCGGTCAGAGTTTCAGGGTTTCGGTTTAGGGTTTAGGGTTTAGGGTTTCGGTTTAGGGTTTAGGGGCTTAGGGCTGTAGGGTGTTAGGCTTTAGGGCTCCAGGGTGTCAGGCTTTAGGGCTTCAGGGCTTGAGGCTGTTAGGCTTTACCGCTTTAGGGCGTGGGGTGCTACAGGTTTTAGCGGCTTTAGGGCTTGAGGGCTGTAGGTGCTGTAGGTTTTATAAAGCGTTAAGCTTCAGGGCTTTAGGCGGGTATAGGGGTAAGGGGTGGTTATGGATGAGGCTGCAAAGTGCGTTCGGTGGGTGCGCTTCCTTGGGAATGGAGGTGCACCCACTTACCGTGCGCTTGTGTCAGCGTGTCGTCCCACACCAACCATTCTAAATTCGAGTTTAGGGTTCAAACGAGGTAAACGAGGTTTTCTTGCCCAAAACCGAACTGGATTACTGGACCCCAACCCCGGTAGAAACCTTAAACAAACCCTTACTTAACAGAACCCAACAGAACATGAATGCTGGCGGCTCGGGGGTCCATCTTTACTCCCCAGGTGGCAGAGAGGCCATGAGCGTAGCAGGGTGACCACAGTTCCCCCGTACCGGGATCCCTCACAACCCTAAACCCTAAACCCAAAAAACCCTGAACCCTAAACTCTTATAAACCCTAAACCCTAAATCCTGAACCCTTATAGCAGGCTTTGCCTCCCTCATAATTCAGTTTAGAGTTTCAGGCTCGGGTCTCGGCGCTTAAACTCGGACCCAGGCTGACGCGCGCAAAAGCAGCTTGTAAGGTTTAGTAGCTAGTGATTTAGGGTTTAGGGTTTTAGGGCTTGACGACTGAGGCTCCGATACCGATCACGATAGCATTCACCGCGATCACCAGCACAATGCCCACGTCTAGTCCCTGATCAGGGTCGTGCTGAAGGCTAAAGAACTATAAACTTTCCTACTGCATAAACCATACTATTATCTTATAAACCCCCCCAATCACCAAATCCCGATTCTAACATTCTGAAGGCCCCTACATGCGGCGCTTTCTTGGGGGCTTTGGGGGGCCGCGCCTCGGTGTTGTTGGGTTTAGGCATGTTTCGGGTGTAGAGTTTGTTAGGATGGGGGCTAAAGAGATGGTGGAGTGTAGGGGAGATTCGGCCTCGTTGGGTTTCAGGTTCGCATAGATGAAACGACTTCTGAAAGCCTACGAAACTGCAAAGCCCGAAGATGCACCGGATGCCCCCAAAAAGATTTCTGACCGGAGGCTCCTAACCCACCGAGACTTGGGTTGAGGCGTTTTCGAAAAAAAGAGCCAGGAAAACTTCTCCTGATAACGGTTTAGTAGGATCGCCTTTGACAAAGTACTACTGTAGTATAAGTGGTTGAAGGGCAGGACGGCGACCCAATGCTGACCGCAAAAAACAAAAAGAATTTTTGAGCACCTGAAGACCTCCCAGCCTGTAAAGGCTACGAGGTTACCTACTGTTGATGATATCAATCCTGCATTACCTTAAGGACCCTAAACTATGGGAACTAGGTATATTCAGCATATTCCTGTTTTTATGCGTAATGCAGGATTTATATCATCAACCGTACTTCGCCTGACCGGAATGAACCAAACAAGGAGACTGCTGAACAGCAGATCTCAAGCACCAAAGCCTCAAAGTTCGAAAGTAGACCCCCCGGGTTTCATGCCACCCCTTTTGGATGCTTCTTGGAAGGCCCTCAGAGAAGATGGAGTTCTTGTTCATCACAGAGTAAAAGTCGCACATGGAGATTTGGAGACCTCAGAACTCAATCTCCTGCGCTCCTTCGAAGGGAGAGCAGCCGGCTACGTAGCTGCCCTGAGGAAAATAATGGCGAAAACAATGGCTTTGTGAATCATCTTTTGGGGTTGTATTATGCTAGAGAAATAGAAACAGCTTCTAAGAGCACTAAGGGCTATCGACTCCATCCACAGATTAATTAAGCCATACCGTAAACCCTAAACCCCTTTGGAAAGGCCTCCGTGAGGTAGGCTTGCCTTTGCCTCTGGTTGAACTTGGCCTCAGGCAGGATGGGGCATGGAGGCCTAAAGTGGTGAAGGTGCAGGAGGACATACTGCAATCGGAAAAGCGAAACATTAGCAACAACGAAAGAAACATGTTGAAGGGAACAAAACTATCTCTCAACGACACCACTACTTCCTGATGCAGTGCAGGTGTAATGCAGGTCTGCAGTCTGTTACCATCAGCAGCAGTATCACAACATCCAAACATGTCACCCGGGGCGAGCGACGACTTGTAATCAAGCAAGCGAAAGAACAGTCATTTCACGACTGCAGTCACCACCATCATCATCACCACCATCACCATGATCATCATTATCATCACCATTATCAATCTGCATCCTTTTGCTACCATCACCTCTGTAATCGTGCTCATCCAGAGAAGCATCGTAATCACCATGGCCATCATCATCACCACTGGGTCCTTATCACTGTCGTCACCATCAGCTCAAGGTCCTTCCACGTTGCCACCCGAATCCTGGAGCTTGCGCTCATCATTCCCAATACCAGCCTTCATAGCCGCATGGTTGGTTCACATCGCAGAGCTACTCGTATGGTTGAGACTGTTCAGCAAAGGGCCGTCGAACAAGTCAGCATGATGGCAGCAGGCACCGCGGCGGGGCAACTTGAGTAATTAACCTTCACAACGCCGGCTGCCTTGCAATGTCCATGCTTCCAATGGCCGCCACCGGCCGTAATCTTCAGCACAAGCACCAGTGCTAACCGCTAACCCTATTATGACGAGTGTCGTCACAGGGCCCTCCTGGCGAAGGGTGAAGGAGAGAGGATTCGGCTCAGGGGACGCGAACACATTCTCTGAGTACTCGCACATACGCGCCACCTTCAGCCCGAAACCCACCAAGGCCAAACTCTCAAACAGTTCGCGAAATCCTAAGCTCTAAACCGCCCCTAAACGCCAGGAAACACAACCACCAGCAACAGCACGACCTCCCAAAGTTCAAAGGCCCCAAACTCATCAACCAGAACTCCAAAACTCCCAAGCCCTGAGACTCTGAGGCTCTGGAAAGTTTGCCCTTTTGGGGGTTAGGGTTTAGGGTTTTTGGACCTAGGGTGAAGGGTATTAGGGTGCATTTGGGGTTTAGGGTTTAGGGTTTTTGGACTTAGGGTTAAGGGCTTAAAGGGTCCAAAATCCCAAGATCTCCTTTAAGATTCCGACATATAGTGTTAGAGAATGCAGGCCCCTTGAGGCCTCATTCGTGGAACCCTCTTGGGATTATGCCCATTGAAACAAAGGGGCTTTGCGTACTTATAACTTATAAGTCATTATATTATATTATGTTATATTATAATATACAATAATAATGCCATATATAGTATTAATATATTATATTCTACTATATTATCTTAGATTATATTATAGTATATTATCTTATATCTACATTGACCCTGAACTCCGTCTCTGGGCTGCCAGGCTTTATTCGTCTCGAACATGTGTTGGTCTGATTCTTCCTGTGGACGAGATGCGGCTTAGATGTTTCCGGATTTAGGATCATCGGCTGTACGGTTCGGTGAAGCTGCAGGACAGTAAGAGTTGCCACAATTGACGAATGTAGGTATATGACGACTCTTTCGAAGGGACTCTTCCTACAACGGGGATGAAAACGAGGGCAGGGCTGTTCAATCAAATCACTAAACCCGAAGCCATAACCGTAGTATAGCCAAACCCTGCAGCCAGGCTTCGAACAGCCTGCATCAAAGCCCAAAGCCTTAATCACACCATAAGGCCCTTGCAGGCAAACAGATGAATGTTCGGAAGGTTCTACCATGGGTTCAGGGTTCTTGCACGGGGTTCTGATAGTTCAATGATGAAACTAGGCAGAAATCCGAGAAGCAGCCTGAAGATGCTGTAGGCTACCTGCCCCACAGCCTAGGTGTTGCCTGCAACTCAACTCTGGATTGCGGAGAGGAACCTGAACCTGGCAGATTGCTGCTAGCGCTACGCAGGGCCTGAGTGTAGTACCTCTCCCCCCCCCACTCTTTTTGACTCTCCTTATGTCTTTCCCACGCTCGGCACAAATCATATATATATATATACACACATACATACATACATACATACATACATACATACATACCGACAGACAGACAGACAGACAGACAGACAGACAAACAGACAGACAGACATACGTACGTGGTGACGGACTCGAACTCTAAAATACTCCAAACCCTGGGCCCTAAACCTTAAAACTTATTTACCCGAAATAACCCCCCTGAAACCCTAGAGGCCAGACCCTAACCCCCTAAGCCCAGGACCCTAAACCTTAAACCCTAAATAACCCCCTCAAACCCAAAGCCCTAGACCCTAACCCTAACACCCCAAATAACCCCCCTAAGCCCTAAGCCCTACACCCTAAACCTTAAACCCGTAAATAACTCCCCTAAACCCTAAAGCCCTAGACCTCAAACCCTCGGAGCTGCCACAGACCTCCAAAGCCCTCCGTAGAGCAGCCAGCGTCACCACAAGATCATCAGGCGCCTTTCGGGTTTTGGCTTAGGGTTGAGGGTTTAGGGTTTAGGGGTTTAGGGTTTAGGGGTTTAGGGTTTAGGAGTTTCGGGCTTGGGGTTTGGGGGTTTAGGGTTTAGGGTTCCCGATTTTGGCTTTCAGGACTTGGGGTTTGGGGGTCAGCCTACTTAGGTCATAGGGTGATCTTCTTGAGACATGGAGGAGGAGGAGGAGGAGGAGGAGGAGAAGTCATGGTTGGTGGTGATGGTGGTGGTGGTGGTGCTGCTGCTGCTGCTGCTGCTGCTGCTGCTGCTGCTGCTGAAGCTTCTGTTGCTCTGGCTGCAGCTTGCTGCTCTTGCTCTCGCTCGCCCTGTCGCTGCTGCAGCTGGTGTCGCTATTGGCAATGTCGTTGTTGCTGCTGCTGCTGATGCTGATGCTGATGCTGATGTTGATGTTGATGTTGATTTTATGTTTATGTTTCTGTTATGTTCATGTTTATGCTTATTATTATTATGACGTTGTTGTTGTTGTTGTGGTTGTGGCGGTGGGTGTGGTTGTGGTTGTGGTTGTGGTTGTTGTGGATGTTGTTGTTGTTGTGGTTGTTGTGGATGTTGCTGTTGTTGTTGCTGTTGCTTTTGCTGTTGCTGTTGCTGCTGTTGCTGTTGTTGCTGCTGTTGTTGCTGTTGTTGCTGTTGTTGCTGTTGTTGCTGCTGTTGTTGTTGTTGCTGTTGTTGTTGTTGACGGTTTAGGGTTTAGGGTTTAGGGTTTAGGGTTTAGGGTTGTTGTTGCTGCTATTGTTGTCGTCGTCGTCGTCGTCGTTGTTGCTGTGGTTGTTGTCGCTGGCGTGGTCATTGTCGTTCTCGTTGTTGTTGCTGTTGCTGCTGCTGCTGCTGTTGTTGTTGTTGTCGTTGTTGTCGCTGTTATCGCTCGTGTGGTTGTTGTCGTTGTCGTGGTCGTTGCTGTTGCTGCTGTTGCTGCTGTTGCTGTTGTTGTTGCTGCTGTTGTTGGTGGTGGTTATTCTTCTTCTTGTTGTTGCTCTTGTGGTCGTCGCCGTTGCCGTCACGTCGTCGTCGTCGTGGTTTTGCTGGTGCCTGTCGTAGTTGTTGTGGTTCGTTGAACCCACAAACCACGAAGCCGCAACCCCTAAGCCATCATTTGCATGCCCGCCCTAGACACAAAATCTACGACCGAAAACCTAGGCAAATCCTAGACCCGAAACCCTACACCCGAAATCCGGCTGGCATTTGCCTCGTCAAGAAGATCAGGATCCGAACCTCTGTGTGAACACGGTAGACGGAGCTTTCTGAAGGCTTTGCACTCGGGGCTCACGGCGCTCTGTTGTTGGAGTCCTAGGCTTCGTCTAGGTCAGCAGGTATGGGCATGCGGCATGCTCACGTACTGATGGTCGAACGAGGTGGGACATGAACCAGAGGCTCTTTCGTGGCTCGTTTGGTCAAGGAGCCCCACACACACACACACCCACACACACACACACACTGAAGTGTTCTAATGTGATGTCCCAGCTTGTCGTCGAAGTTTAGGGCGACCTCAAGTTGCAGTGGGTTCCTCATGTCGTCCTGGGATGGCTTCACGGCATTACGCTACTCCCAGTATGAATTAAGAACAACCTGTAATCCAGGTGGCGACAAGCACTCTCAGACTTGCAATCACTCGTATGAACCACTCATGCAATCGAAAGTTGATCAATCCAGCTTCGCATACAGCACCCAGGAACTGGTCTGCAGCTACGTTCTCCTGGCTACGTCATACAGAGCTTCGTTGGCCTGAGCTGTATGATGAGCCCTCAGGCTCCCATGCAAGCTTAATGCAAAGTCTTAACGCAACTTTCGTTCTCCCTAGTGCCGATTCGGGAGTTGTCACACGCACACACCTATTCTAGCCTATACTCCCGAAGCTGCACGAACTTGGGCCTGATACTCGAATAGTAATTCTGGCGGCACTCGCCTCAGAAAGTCGTCGTCGTTTTACTAGTAATAAGCCATAGCAGCAGCAGAAGGTGCAGCAGCAGCAGCAGTAGTAGTAGCCGTCGTCGTCGTCGTCGTCGTCGTAGTAAACAGTAGTAATAGTAAAAGCAATAGTAATAGTAGTAGTAGTCGTCGTCGTCGTAGTAGTAGTAGTAGGACGAGTAGCAGCAGTAGTACTAGCAGTAGTAGTAGTAGTAGTAGTAGTAGTCGTCGTGGTAGTAGTAGCAGTAGCAGTAG